TATGTGACAGAATCATCATTGGACTAGAGAGAGCAGTACCCTGTTGTGGCAGTTAGCTGTCATTCTAGATTCTGGTCAGCAGGGTTATTCTCCCTTTTTCATTTTTAAATTCTCCCTCCAATTTGAAGATGCCCCTCTTCCATTCACCTTCTGCCTGTCTTCTTCCTTCCCCCTTTCATATCCTCCACATCCCTCCAAAAAGAAGGCTGATCGTAAGTCTGTATGGAGAGAAGCTCTCCAAAGTGGGCAGATTGCTTTATTGGCAGTAATTTGAATTGCTGACCAGGGCATAGGAGCCACCAAAAGCAGCAGTATCCTGAAAATCCCACTCAGAAAAGCTAAACACTGTAGGAAAGAACGGAAACACTGTAAGACCTCAGGTGCATGGGGCAGAAAGATATGCAACAGGGCCAGGTCCTACCAGCCATTATATCAGACAGTATAGACTTAATGTTTTTCATGAATTTGATTCATTTGATAATTATATATAAGCATTTAAAATCTATTATTTGATTTCACTTTTTTACTATTTTATGAATTTTGAATATTTTTTAAAATTCTGGTATAAAACACTAAAATTTCATTTTGGGGTGAAAGAAATGCTGTAACAAATGTGTAAATACTACTACTGAAATTCTTCAGCCTAAATTGAAGATGAACAATGCCAGGTAGTCTACCTGTCCTCCTCTTCTGGAATCTCATGGAAGCCCCATTAAGAATGGCTGGTAGTTATGAGTTAGTGGTACAGGTCCATAATCCCAGTGACTCAGGAAGCAGAAGCAGGAGGTTCAGCCTAGACAACTTAGTGAGACCCTATTTCAATATAAAAAGTAAAAAGGACTAGAGATACAGCTAAGTTTTAAAATACCCCTGGTTTCAATCCCTAGTACCACCCAAAAAAAAAAAACAAACAAAAAAAAAACTGATAGGTAGCTATTTTCTTATCTCTACCACTAGATGGTACTGGTGATCAAAATCTTCAAGTGGATGCTGATCTTCTGGAGCATAGGAGCACAAATCTTGTCAGAATAGCATTAACTGTAGGCTTCCTTTGCAAGGATCCTGGGAGTGGGAGAAAGGCATTCTGTATGTATGTTTTTTCTCTCTGCAAAGAGAGAATGTAGCCATACAGGAGGCACTAAGAGAAAGCCCCAAACTCCATATAACTTACTAAGTAGGAAATAAATTAACCTAAGCAAATCCCTTCACTTCCACATCTGTGAGATTGGGAGTTGGGTGGTAACAAGAGGGGGAAAAAAAATCTGGTCAGAGTCCATATACTAGTTCTGAAAGGAAATTTAAAACTTGATTCATTAAAATGAGAGTAGTTGTCTATTTAATAATTTTTAAAAGTATTGCTTAAAATCACCTGCAAGCTTAAAACTGTCCTCACACTTATCATTCTTGAAGATGCTATAGCTAAAATCATAATTTCTTAGTCCACTTCCTGACAAGCTTATATCCCTCACCTCCAGTGTTTTGTAGATTTAGTCTTAATTCATAGGGTTAAAACAACATGCTCAAGGTCGCTCAGGATCACTCAACATACATGACAAAAATCAGGAAGCGAACTCAGATTTTCCTGCTACATAATACTTCCCCATCCATTGGATGCCTAGAACTGACAGTATGATCTAAAGTGAACTTGACATACATAATGGTATCACAACTTAGAAGGATCCAATAAGATAAAAGTTTGGACAGAGTTAAAAAGGAGTTTATTTTTAAGATGTTCTTATTTGTCCAATAATTTATTTCAGAAAGTAATATAAGAGAATGGATCTGAAATTCCTGATAATGATTGCCTTGCTCCAATGTTGTCAGACTACTAAGGCCTCCTCTCTCATCACATTCCCCTGTCTCCTCAGCTTGTTCCCTTTGAGCTTCTTTTCCAACTGGCCATTAGGGCATATTGTGGCAGAGCAGACACCTAATCTGCTTTATCTAGTGAAGTAAAACAAAGGGGAGGGGGTGATAACTCCATTTGCAAGCCCCAATACCTGTCTAATAGTTTTATAGATAATTATCAGTCTTTCTGTTTCAGAGATCTGAATATGGTGAATCATGCCCCCAACAATTTGAGGCATTGGCCTACACCCTCCTTCCTAGCCCCGACTTCATGCTCGGTTGCTTTGTGATTCTAGAAAAATAACTGTGTGATGCCTGAGGATCTGAAGAACTTTTACCTAATGACCAATGGCTTCCATATGACATGGAGTGTGAAACTGGATGGTAAGTCATCCTCCTTGCTGTTGGGGAACATTGCCCTGGTGGAGAGGTTGGGTGGGACAACTCTGGGCACTCACAACTTATGAGTCTTTCAATCTACACAGTTTTTCTGGGTTTTTGAGTACCACATTCAGAAGCTGTGATTTTTCTCCTAAAGCTAACAGATATCTAGTACTTTACCTACTTCTACCCTGTTCCAGTGTCTAGCTGGTACTGGCCTGTGAGCTTAATTTAGAGGCTTCCTATAAATAGGGTTGGAATAGAGTGGAAGAAAACATTAATTATTACACAAAAAAAATAGAACTACTAGCCTCACTTCAGAGCAGACTTCTCAGAGTAACCTGCAGGAAAGACCCATGGTCCCTGGGAGCAGGTGTCCCTCTCTTTCAGACTCTTCCTTTATTCATACCATTGTGAAGACTTCAGTGCTCTAACCCTCAAATCAGAACCTTACCTTTCTCTTCCTGTACCACCTCAGCCTCAGTCACCATCTGCCTCAGTTTGTAGGACGTTATCTTGCTTTAAATGTGTCTAGACTAACACATTTGCATAATGGGTGTAGGGACTCTCAACTTCGTAGTACAGAGTAGAGCTTGCAGCTACTGCACATTTAGATGAGGACTTAAAGAAGTTCATAAGCTAGGAAATTCTGATTTAGCTGCCGGAGTCCAGCCCATTCCTGACATAGACTTGCCAGTCCTCATCCCTGTTGGCTTTTATTGCCTCCCACTCCAGCAACATCCCCATCCCCATATTTGCTTAGATCTTAGGAAGTACCCTAAACCTCCCCATTGCTGACCCAAAGGAGGAGAGACTTCTGCTTCACAGAACTGACTTTTCTTTCCTGCTTCCACCTCCTGCCCACATATATGAATTACCTTTTTTTGGTGATTCCTGAAGCCTTTATGACTGTCTCCCATAGCTGACCAGAGAACCAGAATTCTAATAGCTTACTAGTGAACATTTAACTTTAGTTTTTACTTAGAATTGTTTTTTCAATGGCCTAAAAGTTATGTGTCACCACCAGTACCTTCCCTTATACCATGGCTATGGCCTTTGGGATCTGGAGCAATAGACAGGGGACAGAGACTAGATTGACTGACAGACACTCCCTGCCCACATTATGAGGGCAGGTTAGTTCCCTCACAAGCCTGCCTCAGAGAAGAGATATTACATGACTATTTTATAAATGAGTCTCTGGTCGTATTGCAATATTTTCTATAACTTAATCTTCCTAGTCCTGGTCTTTTTATCATGATTACTGTACCCATTCTTTACTGAATAGCTTACACTGTTAACAGAAAAGACAGTAGAGGCAGCTTCCAGCATTTTATTAGTAGTCTCTTCTCAAACAGTCCATGGTCTATACCAGCTGTTTTATTGCTTTCAACCATTCCAGTTTTTCTAGAAGTCAGATTTGTAAGTCCGTATGCCACCCTGTGTCAAGGATTCTATACAGTAGATAAGGAAAATATGCAGTCTTCCTGTTCCTTATTTATACCCTAATCACAGAAGACTAGAACCAAATGAGAAGGGCTGCCAGTTCTCTCCA